GATCAGATACAGTGTAAAGTGAAAAATACCCAGAATGCTTCTCACCTTGATAAGACAATGACACATTTATGACTCCCGCTGTGTCTAACTGCTCAGCACACTGTTCTCTCTTACATTGCTGTTGTTCAGATGTATGCTTGTGGCACCATAGCAGATTGGATGCCAGTGGTAGAAACCCCTTTCAGCTAATCGTGTCCATGGGAAAAGGTGGCTTGGGACCTAGGTGTCATTGAGTGACTGCTGCCAGTCATTGTGGAATCATGACAGCATTTCCCATCAAGTAGAGCTGTTGATGGCCCAGTGGAGCAGCGCCTAGAAGCATAGGCTTTATCTTGGTTGCGTTTTGATGTTTATTCATACATCACAAGAAGAGTCACTGAATCATTCCAAGTATGTTGTGCTCGCAGCAAGATGTTAGCTTTATTTTGTAGCTCCCAGGATACTGAAGAGCCCAGTTGTCTGCCTAGGCTCTGGAATTGGCAGTAAGTTGCAGGTATATCTGTCCTGTGGCCTCCAGGCTGCATGTGTCCTGTATAGCTACTGTTGCATTTGTAGGTAACATTAGGATACAGTGTGGAAGGATTGGACATGTGCGAGCATCTAGGTGGCTTAGTTAGCTGGGGTAGTGGAGACTTGTGCTTGGAGGAGCTGCTGCTTAACATACTTGCTCTCCAGCATTCTTGTCAACCCTCGAAATCTGTGACCTAAATCCTAAATTGTCAGGGCATATAAGGAATTGGTAAACTTTCCCATTGGAGCCTCATGAGACCCCAGCTAGTTACAGTACTAATCCAGCTGCTGAGAGGTAAGGTGTGAAGAAGGAATTAAGCTGTGGGGATCTGAGGAAGAACCCTGGGAGTGGTGATGTGTGGAAAGCCACAAGCTTATAAATCTCTCATGTACATTCCATAGATGGCTTTCACCTCTAGTGGGTCTGGTAGGCGTCATCAGCCACACATTAGCTTTTGTGCATAGATAAGACTCAACAAGGGTGACTTTTTGAGTTGTCTTTATATTGTGTGGATAATAGGGTCTCTGTATACATCCCAAGGGGTATAAAATGTGTTGTTGGACCCTAATAACAATTTGATTTTGAGTTAATGTCTAATTTTAAGTTGCACTTGGTGTTTGCTTAATTCACGATACTAAATTTTAGTATCCCATTGAGTTAAAGCCCTGGGCTCTATAGTTCCATGATGGGGAATACCCAAGAGCTTTGCCTCCCTTCAGAAATGTTTTTCTTTTTTTCTAGGCAAAGGTCAACAACTCTAGTTTAATTGGAGTGGGTTATACTCAGACTCTGAGGCCTGGTAAGTATTGTTAATAAATTAGGATTGTTTTTACAACCTCCCTCCCCTTTTAAATAAGATTCATTTGTTTTAAGTGTCTGGGTGTTCTGCCTGCTTGTATGTCCACACTAGAAAAGGGCATTGGATTCCATGGGACCACAGATACAGTTTTGAGTCACAATGTGGGTGTTAGGAATTGAACCCAGGACCTCCTCTATCAAAATTAATCAATCCTTCCCACCCTCCCTCCCTCTCCCATCCATCCTCCCTCCCTCCCACCCTTCTTTCCTTCCTTCCTTCATTTTTCTAGACAGGGTTTCTCTGTATCTTTGGTTGTCCTGGAACTCATCTCTGTAGACCAGGCTGGCCTCAAACTCAGATATGCCTGTCTCTGCCTCCCAGCAAAGACATGTGCCCTCACGCCCGTCTAAAACTAATTGTTTTTTAGTTTATTGTTTTCTAAACCTTTCAAGCCTATAGTGGGTTGATACTCCCCTCCAGGGAAGTTGCAGCTTATGACTCCCTCCCCCCTTGCTCTGTATAGTGAGGAGGCAGCCCTCAATAAGCACAGCTGCCTTCCTCATTCTGTAGAGAGCCCCACTCCTAACCATCTAACCCATTGTGGAGTTTTCCCACTGCTGTCTAAATGGTGTCTTGGACCAGAGTTTACTTGATGCTTTGGCTGGTCTGTCTCTGCATCCCTTTGAGGCAGGGGATTCCAGAGCAGCTTCTGGGTCATACTCAGGCAGATTGTCACTCAGTGGGTCTGAGGTGGAGAGCTCTGGAGCACTTAGAGCAGTTGACCAATAAGGTCGCAGAGCAGCTCAACGTTTGTAGTGGGGACCCTACTTCCTATACCAGTGAAACTTAAAGTGAACACTAACAACCGGTTCCTGCTGACATACTTGGCACCCTTCTTACATCAGCATTACCTACCTACCTAGTCCCACTTGCCCCAGAGGTCTCTTGAGGATTCAGTTACAATCTGGTTTTTGCAGAGTTGTCTAGTCTGGGTAGTATAGTGACCATGATTTTGGCTTAGAACGCTTTGAACTTACTACTAACCTTTTGAGGTCTAAGGTGTACATTTCCCATAATTGCTAGTATTCATGGTTCATCCAATGCCCTTTGGGATTAGTATGGTAGCTGTGGGTTTAGGAAGTAGTAGGTGGGTTGAGTGGTTGTCAGGGCCATCATGGTGGTTTGCTTTGTTTACAGGTGTGAAGCTTACACTGTCTGCTCTGGTAGATGGGAAGAGCTTTAATGCTGGAGGCCACAAACTTGGGCTTGCCTTGGAACTGGAGGCTTAATCCAGTTGAAAGAAACCTCTGGGAATGGATATCAGAAGATTTGGCCTTAATATATTTCCATGTGACCAGCAGGCTCCTCCCCTTCCCCCCAGAAGGTGATCAAATCAAAGGATGATTAAACAAGAGCTGTATTTTAAATATTTAGACAGTTTCCTGTTGGCTGGTTTCTAGTTGTATGGTTATCAGTGCTGCCGTCGTGCGGTCACCATACATTATTTAAATGTATTTAACTGTTAAATGTGCTACCCACCAGTGATGAAATAGATGTTTATGAAAACCGTGCCATGGTGTGCATGTTTGTTTTATGTTCTTTTAACATTGACTATTGTACTGAATGAGATGGATCAGTGGATGTTTTAAGATGAGGTAAAAGATTTTCTTTTGTTATATTCAACCATCATTAGAATTACTTTGCTAATCCCCAAACATGACAAATTATGAATAAACAAGTGTACATAACTAATGGCTCCACGTATGTGCAGTTAGACTGGCCAGCCAGGGCCTAACCTTGGTTAATACTTCTTCTGGTGAGCAGTTTGCTCATTACCTAAATCTGTGCAACCAAATTCCTGTGTCCTTAGCATAATTCCACAAGGTCTTTGAGACTACAATAAAATCAGAGGATACATACTTTAGCATTCTTCAGTTTCTAAGTTTGTGCACAATTATAGTGAATCACTGTTAGCCCATGCATGATGCAGCGATGGTGCTGAATGGTTAAACAGGCATGCCATCCCCTGAGCCCCAACTAGACACTGGAGGAGGTCCTAGGTAGGTGTGGAAGAGGACCCTGAGAGGAGCAGTGCAGGGACGAGGGCTGGGAGAGGAGGAAGTGGGCACTGGCAGGAAGTCAATGCTCTTTCCAGATAAACACTGAAAAGCTGACAACCCTTTAGCCATCGTCTGGGTGGTCTGTAGGACTCAATGATTCTGGTTTGAAAAGTAGGACAGCACAAGCTTCCGGGGGGGGGGGGGGGTCCATCAAAGGGTGAGAGTGTCACACTGCTTGATTAAGAGCCTAGAGGTCAGTTGAAGCTTTGGAGTACTTGGGACTTCCCCGTAGAAATGGTGTATGTGGAGAACCTCTAGGTTAAGGACCAGAAGATAGAACCTTTCCTTGCCAAATGAGACCTGAGGGACATGGGTGTCTTCCGGCCCCACTGTATGTCCTAAGGGATTGGCGGGGGTGGGGTGGCCATGTGAATCAAAAGACTGATTCTCTAAAAGGTTCTGTCTCCAAGCACCTGTCTCTGGAAGGTAACAGGTTGAGATTTGAGTCTGGATCCATTGCTTGGTAAGAAGGAGCGATGAAAGGTACCCAAACTAACATGAAAGCAGTGCTCGCCAACATCAGCCAACAGGTCCTGTAGCCCCTTGGGTGGCCTAGTGCCCCTTAGCTAACAAGTGCATTTCATGCTGCATTTAGGAGTTCACCTGGTGGTGCTGTGGGCTAGTGTGTGTGCACATGTGGGTACTAGTGTAGAAAAGACACTTCCTAAAGTAGACTGGACCAGGTCTCCTGTGTGTACTTGAATATATGTGCTCTAGGGAGGGAGGAGTGGGCACAGCTAGTTCCCTGAAGGTGTGGAGAACATGCACATGGCAGGGGCTGTGGGCTCATGCAGCTGCACTCAGTGCAGCGTTGAAGTGTGAGGAGCAGCCTCTAGGTATGTGTCACCAGGGTCAAACCTGTAGTGTCCCAGAAAGTGCCCTTTTTGCCTGAGTTCTTGAGGTGCTGTGTGTGTAAAGAACTTTACCCTCATAGCTGGACAATTGTGAGGAGCAAAGGCCCAGGTCAATAAAAGTTGGCTCCTTCACTGCCCACCCGCCAAAGGACAATGCTGGAAAAGCCTCAAGTTCTTGAGGTGCCTTGAATGAGGCCTGCTGTCCTGTCTGCTTTACGTCTTGGACATCAGTTCCCTCCCTTGGACCTTGAGTGGGGGAAGCAGAAATTTGAGCCAACCTTAGATCCTCAGGTCTAGGCCAAGAGAGTTGGTTCTCAGTTGATGGTCACTGACGAGGACTTGAATTGCACACAGGAGAGGTTGGTGAGGCGACAGCCCTGTGAAACCATGCGTAGTTTACCGCAGTCTGCCAGCGGACCTGTCTTTGCTACAAAAGTACCCATAACCAGGTTGCTCTCTTGCAGGGATCTATCTTGTCAGGCCCCAGGTGTGGTCTCTCCAGGAGCCTGTGGGTGGGAGGCAGGAGACATCCCTTACATGTAGTCCTCATAACCTGTTGGGACTCTACTCAATGTATACAGCTGGGACACTTTATTAAGATTATCCTATCAGATAGGGCCACAGGCATTGGTGCCAGGGAGACTGCTTTGCAGGAAAAAGCTGACTTCCTGTAGGGACCACCACCTAATAAATGGCAGATAGGGATGCTCATAAAATGGTGTGTCCTAGTCCTTTTATTATCAGGTTTAAAAATTATCAGGTTTAAAATTAGGGTCACTGGCTGGGGTTCTCCTTAGATCTTGAAGACTAAGGAGAGCCCGTCACCCAGGGGCAGGAGGCTGATGTAGACCCTGGCGTCTCGCAGGATGCGCTCATTCAGGTTCCGCACGCACTCAGCAGCCTTGTCCCTGGGTTTAGGCTGCAGCACCTCTCCGCACCACAGGACCTGTGGAGGGAGGGGCGGGCCATCGGGAGTGGGGGGCGGTGCCTACGGTGTTCTGGGCGGAGTTTTGGGATGGGAGGAGCCGATACCAGCGGGAACCGAGCCCGGAGAGGGAGCCGTCTAGCCTTCGCTAGTCCTTACTCTGAGCACGGCGAGTACGCCTCCAGGGCGTAGCAGCTGCAGGCAGCGTTCATAGTAGGCGCTGCAGTTCTCCTTGTCCGCGTCCACCACCGCTACATCGAAGGTTCCGGCCTCGCCCGCCGCCAGGAGCTCATCTTGCGGGACAGAGCAGGTGCAGCTGAGCTGCGGTTCCGGTGGCAGGACGCCCCTGCCCAAGGTTCATGGTCGCCAAGCTTGGTCCCCCAGGTTGGACAGTGCAGATGGGGCCCCTCCTGTGCCGGTGCTCACCTAAAGTCTGCAGGGCGGGCTGCAGCCGAAGGTCGATCTTGTGCTCTGCTTCGGCCTGCGGAAGGAGGCCGGTCAGACCGGCACGCCCCCGAATCCCCGAGCACGCGCAGCCGCAAGTGTGGGGCTCTCACCTGCTTCCACAGGGGCCGCCCTAGTTCCGGGGGCTCCGTGTCCACTTCGCAGGTTACCACACGGCCAGCCTCGGGAAGCGCCAGGGCTAGCGCCAGGGCGGAGTAGCCCGTGAAAGTACCTGTGGACCGGTACACCCACAGGCTCAGTCCAGGGTGCAGGACGGGACCTGTGAGCCGGGTTCCCAGTGACCCTGGCTGTGTGTCCCTACCCAGGTCCAGAGCTTTCTTGGCCTTGATGAGCCGCGCCAGGTTGGCCAGAAGTTGGGCCTGCTCACAGGTCATCATGGAATCCCCATGCGGCTGCTTCAGGGTCAGCTGTGTGTGGGGAGAGGGTGGTACAGTTCCTGCCAATCACCCGCCCCCGCACAGATTTTGAATCCTGCAGGGGCGCGGTGGCAGGTGTGGCCAAGAGGGGACAGGTCTCAGGGAACCCGGAAGCCCATTGTGGGCCTCTGCCCAACCCAAGGTCACACAGCCACGTGAGATTCACCACGCTAGAAAATGAGGAGCCTGCTCTGGTCCCCCATTCCTACTAACCAGTCGCAGGCTCCGCAGCGCCGGGTGCTCCCGCATGGAGCGGCTCAGCAGATACTGCCACAGGGGACTGTCCTCGGGTGGCAGCAGGCGCTGTTGTCGTCTGGACCCCCACGGAGGCCACCGTCTCCCTGCCGGGGAAAGGGTGCCAGATCAGGGCCTGGGGTTCTGACAGGGTTCTCGGGCTCTGCTCCGCGCCCTCCCATTCCCGGGACTGCCGCAGCTCACCCAGCAACAGACCAGTGGCGAAGGCGGCGCCCAGTGCAGCAGAGCCCAGGGCCAGCACCGCGGGAACAGATAGCCGAGGCAGTGACTGGGCCATGGTGCGGGTAGCAGGCGGCGGCGGTGATCACGTGTGCTGGAGTAGCGGGGATGGGACTGGGACTATTGGGCCGACTGGGCTCCACCTAGTCCAGGGCTGCCGGAAGAGCCGCGGCCTTTGGGCACCCTCTGGTGACACATCGCCGTAGTGCAAGGTCTGGCTGGGAGAACTGCGCGCCACCCGGTGGCCGCTTGTAGTACTGCGTCGAACCAGAGAGCAAGCTCTGAGCCTGGGGTTCTTAACGATGTCCACAGTGTAATCGCCCCCTCCTGGCTGCCATTGTTGCTGAGACTCCCAAGAAACATGTGAGCATGGGGAGCGGGGTGGTTAAAACGACTGTGTGGCCAATGGAGAAGTTCAGAGAGACTTGAGGGACGCTTCCTGGAGAGGTACCCAAGTTGAGGGAACCAAGGACCTGGTTTGGAGACAGACTGGGCTACAGGATTCCTGGGGGTGGGAGGGAGTTAGTGGGTTCTAAGACTGGGGTGCTAGGTGTAGAATTATGTGCCTATCGGTCTTTCTGAGTCTCAGTTTCTTTTTTGTGAAACAGGGGTTACAGTCTTACCATGAAAGGCATCAGATTTCTCACACACAGTAGGTGTTCAATAGTGGTAGCTGCTGCTATGGCCATTGGCCAGAGAGGACATCTTGGCAGGAGGCATCTGAGTTCCCCTTGCAGAGCTATTCTACCAGACCAGTACTCCCTAGGCATTTATTGAATACCTACTGTATGCTGAGCTCTGGAGGAAGGAAAAGCAGCTGTGGTTTGGGCTTGGAGACAACCGGACAGGCCCCAGTGTTACTAGCTCCTTTTCTACACAGTGAAATCATGACTGGTACTCACTGCCACAGCACTGGATGGGGTTGCGAGCAAAAGCACAGTCACAAGACTTATAGGCTATCAGTGCTATCTTTAGAAGACTTGCTGCAATCCGCAGGGTCCCTGAGGCGCTTGCCATGGAAGCCCGTTTCTTACAACACTGGCCTGGCTCGGAGACCCTCCGAAGGCAGGCAAACTGGTGCAGGATACATGAGGGGCCCCAGTCAGGTCACCTAGAGGTGAGAGGCTAAAATCCTGGGCCGCAGGAGGTAAGGGCTGGGTTTCCGGGCCAGAGAGCATCGCCTCTATTTTCAATTAGGGTAGATTGGTTTCTTGACCTAGCGGCGGCTGTCCCTGGCTCCGAGCTTTCTTTAGGTGCGTGGTGAGCTTTCCCAGCTGCTCCTGAAACCCACCCCTAGGACAAACTGTCCTCATTACTCTGAACATCCCATTTGATCCTGAAAATGTCTCTAAGTTTGAGCCATGTTCTCCAGGTAAGGACCGTGGAAGAGGAAGTTCCTTAGCATCGAGCACACAGCAGACAGTGTGGATGCTTCCTGAATTATGTGGTGGTCCCACTCAGTGGTCAGTGGTAAAAATGGACAACGGAAGCCTTTACTGAGCACCTACTGGGTACTCACTGTACACGCGGCATCCCTTGGAGCAGTTACGGCCTTGTTCCCATTTTCCAGGGGAGGAAAGGGAAGCCCTGAATTGGTCACCTCTCCAAGCTCAATGTCCAGCTGCCTTCTCTCCTAAATTCCACCACCTTCATTACTCCTCTGGGACGCACACAGTGCGGTCCTGTCACCTCTAGGTGCCTCCAGCCCGCGTACGGCACAGGGTGCCTCTCTCCCACATCCGGGGATCCAGGTGGCCCACAGGTTTCCAGTGCACGCCATAATCTTCTTCCCCTAACCTGGCTTCAGGCAGGAGCAGGGGGGGGGGGGTGCAGGCAAGGAGGGAGCCTTGTCACCATATATCCCCGTCAAATTAAAAAACTAATTTGAAAAGATTAATGCCTTCCATTCTTGTTACATTGGCTCTGATACCTCTGGGTCTGCAGACGCTCTGCCTCCTGATTATTGAATTTTTATGGCCTGGTAATTAATTGCAGATTCCCTGTTTTGTTCTATTTCTTTTTCTCTGACATTTTAATTTCAACAGAAAGCACTGGTCTCTATGCAGATTCTCTCTGGAGACCCTAATGGTCTATAAAACAGAATGACTTATACACGTGGCACCCACTTCAGTTGGCGAGCGATTGTTTGAAACCTTGCTGATCATGCAAAATTTAATTTTTCTGCCTCCCTCCCCCTTTGCTCCTCATTTCTTGTCTCTTCCATTGCAGTGCCAGTGCCTTTCCTCACAACGAAGGGAGCGAGTGTCACCTCCGGATCTGCTGCCGGACCTTGTCAGTGGGTATGGAACTGGGTCCATGCAGATAAATGGACATTCTTAGCCAAATTGGGGCACGGCTGTTCATAGACACAGGGTTGGGAGAGACCTTTGAGTTTTTGCCTGATGCCTCCCGCCTTCTCTTTCTTCCAGTCCTGCTAACATCACAGGCTTGATCTCTCTTCAGAGCCCCACCCCCACCCCTGGGACTAGACAGGCCTGAGCATAAGATGAAGACAGAAGATTAAATTGAGCTGAAAAGCTGGGAACTTGAGTGTCTCCAGAAGCCAGGCAGGTGAGGCCAGTTAGGGGACAGTTCCATGGGGCCTGTGTCACTGTAGGGCTCCCCTTTCGCCAGAGGACACTACAGCCACTCAGTACTAGCTGTGAGACAGAAAGAGAGCCGGGTGTGGCCAGGGTGTCTGGGTCTTGGTTTGATTCTTGCAAACCTCTGGGTTTGGTGTTTTAAACAGTCGGTGAGCCTGCACACAGCTTTGCACCGTGTCTGATCCGGTTCACGGGCTCCTACTCATTCCTGGAACAGAGCGGTGATGTGAAGACGTGACGTGGATCCTTCAGGGTGGAGAGGGCCTCTGCGACCCTGTGCCCATCCCTGTGTGGCCCCCAGGAACCCTCTTCTTCCCTTTGGACCCTGTGGGGTCCATTCCATATTTGGTTAGCTTCTCTTTCTCCTGGACTTTCGAGACACCTTTGGATGGAGTTCCGGTGCTTTCCGGTCTCTGTCTCTCATATAGAGAAACTTGCAGTCTGATCCCATAACATCTGGGTCACATCTGCTAGACTCAAGAGGCAGCACCTCTTGAGATTTTGGGAGGCCAGGCTGAGACTCTGAGGACCCTAAAGGCAATTCAAGTGAGTGGGTTGAGGCAAAGAGACCACAAAGCTGGGGTTTCTGGGTCCTTCAAACTGGCCGTGGCAGGGCGCCGGGTTACTGGACTCACAGACTGGGTAACTTCTGTGCTTACTAGCAAAGGTCAAAACGCCCCAGTTTCCTTATTTGAGAGGCCAGACAAGAAAGCAACAACATGGGCTCTAGGGTTAGACGGACGAGGGTTCAAATGTGGGATGCACTGCTGATCTCTCTCTGGGTGAGGTCAGAATCTCAGTTGGATAAAACAGGATCGTTATGTTCTGGATCTTAGAGGTTTGGTGGCTGGTGTGTGTGGATATTGGTAGTGGAGCAGCCTAGTTAGAGGAAGCAGGGTCACTGGGGGGTGTGACCGTGAAGGGAATATTGAGACCCCACCTTTCCTCTGTAACTGCTTCCCAGTCTTCATGAAACAAAGAGCCTTATGGCAATTCGCCTTGCCACCATGAGGTACTGGGCCACCACTGGGCCACCGTATACACACAGTAACTGGCTGGATGCCTATGAAGCCAAAACTGAAATTATGAGCCTAATAAACCATCTTCCTTTCTTTCTTGTTTGTTTTTGTTTTTTGTTGTTTTGTTTTTTGTTTTGTTTTGTTTTTCTGAGACAGGGTTTCTCTGTAGCTATGGAGCCTGTCTTGGAACTCATTCTGTAGACCAGGCTGGCCTTGAACTCACAGAGATCCCCCTGTCCCTGCCAGAGTGCTAAGATTAAAGGTGTGCACCACCACTGCCTGGCTAAACCATCTTTCTAACCCCCTTTTAAGATGGCCTCTCCCTATATACCCCAGGTTAGCCTTAATGTCTAGTCTTCCTACCTTAGCCTCCTAAGTGCCAGAATTGCTGGTTTCTTTCTCTGTTTTGTTTTTTTTCCATTTTCTTTTCTTTATTTCTTTTTTTCTATGATAGTTATTGAGCTCTACATTTTTCTCTGCTCCCCTCCCTGACTCTCCCCTCCCCCTTCAACCCTCCCCCAAGGTCCCCATGCTCCCAATTTATTCAGGAGATCTTGTCTTTTTTTTAAAATATTTATTTATTTATTATGTATACAATATTCTGCCTGTGTGTATGCCTGCAGGCCAGAAGAGGGCTCCAGACCCCTTTACAGATGGTTTGAGCCACCATGTGGTTGCTGGGAATTGAACTCAGGACCTCTGGAAGAACAGGCAATGCTCTTAACCTCTGAGCCATCTCTCCAGCCCCGAGATCTTGTCTTTTTATACTTCCCATGTAGATTAGATCTATGTAAGTCTCTCTTAGTGTCCGCATTGTTGTCTAAGTTCTCTGGGAATGTGGTTTGTAGGCTGGCTTTCTTTGCTTTATGTTTAAAAGCCACCTATGAGTGAGTACATGTGATAATTGTCTTTCTGGGTCTGGGTTACCTCACTCAAAATAATGTTTTCTAGCTCCATCCATTTTCCTGAAAAATTCAAGCTGTCGTTATATTTTTCTGCTGTGTAGTACTCCATCGTGTAAGCATACCAAATTTTCCTAATCCATTCTTTGGTCGAGGGGCATTTAGGTTGTTTCCAGGTTCTGGCTATGACAAACAAAGCTGCTACGAACATAGTTGAGCACATGTCCTTGTGGCATGATTGAGCATTCTTTGGGTATATATCCAAAAGTGGTATTACTGGGTCTTGAGGAAGGTTGTTTTCTAATTTTCTGAGAAATCGCCACACTGACATCCAAAGGGGTTGTACCAGCTTGCATTCCCACCAACAATGTAGGACTGCTCCCTTTTCCCCACAACCTCTGCAGCATAAGTTGCCATCAGTGTTTTTGATCTTGGCCATTCTTACAGGTGTAAGATAGAATCTCAGAGTTGTTTTGATCTGCATTTCTCTGATGACTAAGGATGTTGAACAGTTCCTTAAGTGTCTTTCAGTCATTTTAGATTCCTCTGTTGAGAGTTCTCTGTTTAGGTCTGTACTCCATTTTTTATTGGATTATGTGTTCTTTTGGTGTCCAATTTCTTGAGTTCTTTGTATATTTTGGAGATCAGACCTCTGTCTGTTGTGGGGTTAGTGAAGATCTTTTCCCATTCTGTAGGCTGCCATTTTGTCTTGTTGACCATGTCGTTTGCTTTACAGAAGCTTTTCAGTTTCAGGAGGTTCCATTTATTAATTGTTTCTCTCAGTGTCTGTGCTGCTGGGGTTCTATTTAGGAAGTGGTCTCATTCAAGTGTACTTCACACTTTTCCTTCTATGAGGTTCAGTGTGGCTGGCTGTATGTTGAGGTCTTTGATTCATTTGGACTTGAGTTTTGTGCATGGTGATAGATATGGGTCTATTTTCATTTTTCTACATGTTGATATCCAGTTATGCCAGCACCACTTGTTAAATATGCTTTCTTTTTTCCATTTGATATTTTTTACTTCTTTATCAAAGATCAGGTGTTCAAAGATGTGTGGATTGATATCTGGGTCTTCTATTCAGTTCCATTGGTCCTCCTGTCTGTTCTTATGCCAGTACCAGGCTGTTTTCAGTACTGTAGCTCTGTAGTAGAGTTTGAAGTCAGGGATTGTGATGCCTCCAGAAGTTCTTTTATTGTACAGGATTGTTCAATCTTAGTTTTCTATTGCTCAATCTTGAATGTCCACACATTTTTTATCTTAAAAATACCAGTGCACCTTTGTGCATCAGTGAGGGAAGGAAGCCCTGCCAGGCAGGGACTGGGTAACTGCTGTTCTCTCTAGGTTGGGGGGCAGGTAGAAGTTGTCAGCACAGCTAACTCCATTCTTTTGAGAGTCCCACATCTCAGAGGCCAGACATGACGTCTGGAATCCTCTGGTGCTTCTGGTCTCTCTGCCTTCGTTCTTGGCATCCAGGAGCTCACGTGGAGACTTCATGATCTCACTGTTTTCAGGTAAGCTGGCTAGGACTTCATCTGCAAGGTCCCCTTTGCCATGGACGAGGCAAGGTCCTTACCAAAAGAGTGATGTTGATGACCGAGGCCTTGGGGCCAAAATTCTGCCTGCTACAGTCCACAAATCTGGAGTGGTTATAAGGAGGCCGGCCCCCTCCTGCCTCCTCCCTCCAATAAGGGGATTCAGACAGGACAGTGTGCTTCTCAGGGTCTCTTGATGACAAGCCACAGCGCCACCTTGTGGCAAACAGCAGGTTTGACTTTACGACAAACAATTCTCTTAACAGAGTTTGGAGAGGCCCAAAGGCCCAGCTGGGAAGTCCTATCACCTGTTCCATTCCTCTCCCCCAAGACAGAGTTTCTCTGTGTAACAGTCCTGGCTGTCCTAGAACTCGCTTTGTAGAACAGGCTGGCCTCGAACTCACTGAGATCCGCCGGCCTCTGCCTCCCCAGTGCTGAGATTATAGGTATGCGCCACCACCACCTGGCCCACTTGCCCTATCTTAAGACTGTTCTAAATAAAACCTAGCTCCTACCACAGCCCTCCTGTCTCGGTGAGACTCCGCCACAACCACCGCCAAGGTAGTAGGAGTCATATCGCCTTTCTCCGGGATTGACACCTGGCTGGTCGGCTGTGTTTGCTGGAACAGTATCTGATTGGCTGAAGCGTGCGCCTGTGCTTGCTAGAGTAGTCACCATGCCAGCTAGACCCTTTATTTTTCCTTCTTCCTTGTAGAGAAAGCTTTTGCCCTCGCTGGAGCTTGCGGCATCCCTGGTTTTTGCTGCCGAGAGCGGTCACCTGGAGTGGAATTCCAGAGCCGTACAGGGAATCCTGCCCAGTGTGTGAACGGGATAATAGCAGTTAATACTTAGATCAGCCTTACTGAGTCCGGGTCACTCCTTAGGATTTCCTGTGGGCCCTTTTAAGCCTCAGCAATAGTGTGCCAGGTGCCAGCAATTCCATCCCCATCTCATCGAGGACTAAAGCAACGCGCCCCACACGGCGCAGCTTCTGAGTGGTAGAGCTTTGAACCCATGTGCTCTGGTTTCAGGACTTACAGTTTTTGAGTACCATACTGATACTGCAGGAAACTCCTTCCTCATCATGTGACTTGTCTTTGGGCAAGAGAGCTGCTTGAGCCCCAGCCATATCAGCCAATCAGGAGAGAGGAAGGGATGGACCCGGACTCATTCCCTTCTCTTCATGAAGCCAAACAGTGTCCTGAGGGTCCCCACAGACTTCTACGTTTATTCTTTGTACAGCAGCCGCATTTGTGACACACTTGGGTCAACAGATACCTTTCATTTTTGTCGTTATGGAAAAGCAGTTGTAACTTTCAAGTTGACAGAAAGGATGGTGGTTACTGGGCACAGTTACCATAGTGCCACATGATTTATGTGAAGAAACTGAAGACTCCGGGGAGGTTGCCCAGCTGGGAAAGGGGGGAACAGGTGGGCCCCAGAGAGATGCTAAGTGGAGACCTCAGCGGGGAGGACCTCTCGGTAGACTTCCCAGCGTCTAGGGACACTCAGGACCACGGCTCAGATCTCCAGTGCTTTCTAGTCCCAGACCCAGCATGGTAGCACCAGCACGCCAGGCGCCGACTCCATCCATCCCACTAATGCCCACATCAGCCGTGCTCGCTGCACTCCTGACGCGGCCTCCTGCGCACTGAATAATTCAAGCCTGTGTAATGGGATAATGAATTTACTGACACGCAGTGTGGTCTCAGTACGTACAGTCTAGAAATCCCGACTTCAGGCCCACTGGGCAGGCGGGCAGGCAGGCTTGTCCTAACACAAGAAGCTGTTGCCCCAGCCCTCCCTAGGGAACTCGACCGGATAGAGGAGAGTTCTCACTGGTTCTCCTACTGCTGAGGGAAGTGGTCACGGGTGGGGAGGCCTGGCGGGACCTGTAAGGGGGAGTAGAGCCAGACAGAACAGCAGCGATGGGTGGGGACACCCAGCCTCTCCGGTGCGCCTTGCTTCTTTGTGGATCCAGGTTGAGGCTTTGTAGTCTTGTCACTGTTCTGTGCTGGGGATTTGGGGTGACTCTGAGCCCCTGGGGAGAAGACCGGCTTCCTTTCCTGCTAACTTAGTGCTTACCTGTCCCCAGTTGTGGAAGGTTGCTGTCTATGGCTTTGCACATTGTCCCTCTCTGAAGACAAGCACTCCCCTGGCGGGTGGCGGGCGGGCCGCAGGCAGGCCGGCGGGCGAGAATGCGGGCGGGCAGAGCCTCTCCTCTCAGTCTGGACACAATGTGACTGAGTGGAGGGTTCCCCAACCTAGAGAAGGCATGAGCATTGCGTGGCTCTGCAGCTCTGAGCCTCCCTCCGGCCCACCCTCCCCTCAGCTTTAACCTCCTTTCCTCTCTGCCTCCTGCCTCCAACAGACCACGAAGAGGAGCTCAGAGCCCACGAAGCTTGGCTTTGGCTCTGATATGTGTCAGGAAGTCCTGTCCCTAGGGGCCTCAGTTTCCCATCTGTGTGGTGGTGGGAGGAGGCTTTCAGGGTCCCTTCAGGCTCCAGAGTCCTGGGGTGTGTCCTAAAGAGCAGGAAGTGTTTTCTGATTCTGCCCAACCCTGCCGCACATGCTCACAGGACTCTTCCTAGGTGTCCCCGGTCATCCTGGAGCCCCAGAGGACGCTACTGCTTCCTCTTTGTCC